TGAGACATCAGACCATTAAAATGGCTTCTGTGTGAGGAAGGTCAGCACTTAGCCTTCCTAAGCATTTTTTTCTTAATATTTTTGCTTTAAGAAGGTATTTGTAAGCATCAAGAAAAATAGTATATATTGTCACATCTTGCTGTTGTGCAGCTGACACATGACACACTAAGGATTTGAAACAGAACAAAGAAAAGACATCTGTTTGTAGATGTGTTCCTAATTTGCTATCAGAGGTTTTCTTTTCATTGAATCATTTTCTAGTACCTGAACTACGCACTGGAAATCTGTTCAACTAAATTCATCAGAGCACAGAGTGTAGAAGTATTCCTAGATATAATATAGTTTAGCTTTGTTTTTCATTTTGCACACAATTCTCTGATTTAGGGATTTAGGGTTAAAACTGAATTAGTAATTTTCAGGCTGAACCTAGTTGTAATTGATAAAATTAATCATATTATCTTATATGACCTATATAGATGTAAGGAAACAGTGCTAGAACCTGACAAAATGGAAATCCAAAATGTAATTAATTTCAAAAAGGAAAATTTCTGAAATATAAAGTATGCTTGCTATGAGATTTTCAGTATTTTGTACTCTTCAGTTGCTCACCTGTCATTTACATACACACAATTAAAGGATGTTAGGTAGAAGGAATGAAAAACATATTATTCAGATAGATGATATGTTGTCTTGCACTTTAGGATAAAAGCAGTGGCTGCAAATCCAGGAAGGCTTGCAAGTTTTGAGTATTTTGTTTGTATGGTTTTTTCCTCTTTCCACTTTATCATATTTTTCTGCTGATTCTTATATACTACATATTTGAAAATACTATATTAAGCAAGTGTGGCACAATGCTTACATTCTTCTGTTGGAAGTATTAAATAGAGCTGTATTGATTACGTGTCACTTTAAGTAAACACAGAAGAAAAATCGAACCAAAGATTTTGGCTGCGTGCTTAGGAGTTAGTCCTGTGAGTTACAAATTACAACTTCGCCTTTGGAGAACATGAATCAGTAAGAGGAAAATATTTTTTCCATGGGCTTCTTCCATGATAAATTAGTTCATGATGAATCCTATCCTATGGCACAGCTTGTTAAACAGTGCATGTGATCTTTATAAAAAGCCTATTTTTTTCAGGCAGTTGGTTATGCTAATTAAAAATATAGCTATGAAAAATATATTCCTCTTGTTAGCTAATGCAGGTGCATTTGTTTGCAAATGAATCTTAAGTTGGCGTGCAGAATGCAGTCAGTGCTCTTATATATGTCTCTCCATTCCTCTTGTAACAGTCTTAGCTGTTGTCACTTAAACAAGCTGCTCTTACAGACTTGTAGTAAGGCCTCCAAGCAAAAGGCACTCCTCATTCACTCAGCAGAATCAGAAACCTTTACCGTTTTCCTCTTGTTTTAAACTGATGTGTTTTTAATTACTGCTGTGTTTAATTCCTTCAATTTCTTTTGCCTTTCTCACTAAGCTATGATTTTTTTTTTCCTAGTTGCTTTATGAAGCTTATTAGTAGGTATGTATCTGAATAACTAGGTACAGGAACAATAGTTGTTTCCAGTCTGGATGATCACTTCGTGCCATCATGTGAAATTAATCAATTGTGCTTTAGTCAGTTTTCGCTTGTATGCAATTGTAAATTCTGTTGTATTTTTTGGAGATAGAGGTTACTAGGACTCAATAGATATGCCATGTTTGCTTGTAGCAATTTATTTTCAATTTTTGAATGATTGCTGGTTCTCCAAAAGATTTTAACATCAGCATTAGCTGATAGGGGATAGGGCAGGAATCTTAGCAGAGTTCTATTTGTGCTGGTAGTAATCTAAGCTGATAGTAGATGCAGACAGCCAAAGCCTCTTAGGCTGTAGCACTGATGTAGCAAAACCAGGGTATACATCAAATGCATAATTAAGAGAGATGGTATTCTGGTTGAAAGCTGTTGTGAGATATGTTAATGAACAGAGGAACACCTTGTCATTCAGAAGAGTGGTGGTTATTCTGATCCTCCAGTCTCTAAAAGAAGAGAAAATTCTCTGTCTTAGAAGAAAGCCTTAAATAACAGGCCAAAACTCAGCTGAGGTCCTCTCCCTTTCCTTCCTTTCTTGTCTTCAGAGGGGCTACCAAGTTTTCTGGGGTGCTGTGAAGTTTCACTTCCATATGAAAAGGTAAACGGGTTAACTCTCAAATGAAAGTACATTTCAAATGACCCCAGCTGTTTGGCAGCAGTGTTGAGGGAGGGAAGCTGTGAGGGGAATTTGGTTCACAGCCCTAGTTCACAGCTTTTACAATGTGACTGTAAAGTTTTTGTAAATCTGAAAAAGTATCCTAGAATCAAAGGGTTCACCGCTAAGTCCCAATTCCTTTAAAGTATTCTAAAGTAGATGCTGGCAAAAGGAAAGAGGGAAGGAGGGAAAGAAGGAGAGAAGGAAGGAAGGAAGGAAAAAAGGATTTCCTTTGACTTCCATATCCTCAGTGTGTTTTAAAGGTGTGGCAGCTTGACAGTCTTTTCTTTAGTCATTTTCTGAAGTTCCCATTTTGTTCCTTTCACTTAGTTCATTGATTTAATGGGTTACATTTTGAGGGGGACAAACCCTCACAATCATCTTCCAGGTCTTGATAACATGCCGTGATAAGAATTAAAAAGAATTACAATCCCCAGTTCCCAACCTGTGAATTCCTCAAAAAAATCTCATTTTCGGGAGCTGTACAAATGTGTTAATGGATAAACAATGTGAAGAAACATGGCAAAAAGCCAGATTTAAGTTATTGTTTTATTGTGTTACTTCTGCACCCAAAGCTACTTTAGGGTACCTTTAGTGAAATGATAGCATTAATCGTTGACAGCTAGAAATCAATTACAGTCTGGACTAGCATGCTACTGTTGTACAAACACCATTAGCAATCATTACTTTCAAAAATACCAATGTTATTTTCATTTTTTACTAACAGGTAGACAGCATTGAGTTGCTAGAGATGATAGTTCCTAGAGCTGAGATATTTTTGCAGTTACAGAAGGTGCATCTCATGAAGATGGTGCTACAGCCTCACTGAAATGTCATGGAAGTAATACCTGTGTTTACTTAGTCCTTTTTATTCAGAAAGCTGTGTGTGGATTTCTGTGGTCAGAAAAGGTGGTTTTTGTTCTTACAGGAGTTAGAAAAACAGCCAGCTCAAGGAAGCAGAATATTCCTTGCCTCTGTCCCTAGCCAAGGCAAGCCTAGTCTTGCCCTAGGAAGGAGAATGGCTTGTGTCCTGTAATGCTTCGCTGCCACTAGTGGCGGGTGAGGGGGAATATGCTAGACAAACCCATACAGCGGAGAGGAGAAGCAGTTTATCTGTGGGAATCGAAACGACAGTATTTACTTTCTGCTGTCTCCAGTCCTATCCTCTCTCACTACTGAGTGGTTCTTTGAATCTACCTAATGATAGGGCCAGAACGGTTTATGTAGTCTGCCGTGAGCATGCCTTCTCTATACTAACAGGGAAAAACCAATGCATCGTCACCACCATGCACAGGTATGCATGAGAAGGAGGAACTTCTCTTGTTTGCCATAGTGTGTCTGGAATTCAGCTAGGTAGATAATGTCAGAATTAAGATTTTTGCCATTTAGCATGTGGTAAGGGATCCTCTTCCAAAATTCATCAGAGTTGGGAAGCGGATTTAGAAGGACAAAAGTTGGCAAGGAGAGTTGAGGCCACCCATATCTGGTGACGCTTCCTCTACATTTTGTTCCCACTCCTATTTCACCCTTCCCCTTCAAAGCTTTATGAAAGATGGTGGCAGAATCCCAGCAGTGCCTGCCCTGAATTGGATGCACTGATGGCAGGAACAATCAAGGAAGACAGTATGGTTTTATTGCTAGGTTGTGTTTCCAGATGACAATGAAGTTGCAGTCTAATTAAACCACAGCCCATGTGTCTCTGTATGGCTGGGACAATGGAGACTAGCTCATGGTTTCATTCAGACACTAGTGTAATCTGACGGGTGCATTATGTGCATGCCTAAATCAATCAATGAACAGTTAAGGGAAATATCAAGCTGCTGTGAAAAAGAAATGGAACCATGAGAAATATTTCGAGTATTGCATTTTGGACCTCATGAGGGATTTCAGAACAGAATGAGCTATGAATGTGTATTGAAAACCCTAATACTGCTGGAGTTTAAAAAAAAAAATGCTGGCTTTTTTGTTAAATATATAGTGCAACAGTGAGAAAAAGTACTATTGTTGGTAGTTTTAAAAGCTTTGTTTGGGTATGAGCTAAGCTTAAATTGTTTTTTTCTTAATTATAAAACTTTGTGACTGATTAATCAGAAAACTATGAATTTAATTTACTATTTGCTTCAGAGGTGCATTCACTCTGCATATTATTTAGTTTTCATTACATTTTAAGAGAATAATTTTTATATTTGGTATTTACCTGTAGTGACTATGGAAGCTGATGGTATTTTCCTAGTGGTGCTGTTTGCATTATAATACTCATGAAGATCACTATTTTAAAACTTCTTAATAGCTCGCTTTTCAAAAATACCACATCTGTTAACAGGTGCATTTTACTGAATTTTTCTATTGTTATCTCAATGGACTACTCCACATCTGGAATCGGTGCTTGTGAAAAGTATGTCAAGAGTCTGTTTTACACACATTACATCTACATGTCCCATGAATTAATTGTAATATCTGAATTAATTTTAGATGTAATAATGCTGTACGGTTTTGTTGACATTCTCTGTTATGTGCTGTAATAGTAAAACTACACAGTACAATTTCACATCGTGTTTGTAAAAAACATTTAACAGCCTGAGTAAATTTGCACGTATGATCTCACAGCTGTTTAAAACTAATCTGGTGTGTAAGAAATATGTAACCCACTGAGCTGCTGCCAAAGCAGTCTATGCTAAGAATTGATTCCCTACTTTATTTAGTTGCTTTCAGAATGACATTTAAACAGTTAACAATTGTAAACAGATACTTTTTCATTGTGTTTTCTTCAACAGGACACTACAAGTATAGAAAAAATGTCAAACTGTTGTGAAGACATGTAAGTGCTATAAAATTTATTTATTTGCTGAAAAGCTAAAGGAGTAGCTGAGGTTTTCAACTATGTGAGAGACAAAAGGAATTGAAGGCACTTTGTTAAGATTATTTTGTGTGGTATTGTGTTCTGTACTTCCTGTCTCTAGCAGCAGCTCACTAATCTTTTAATACTGGTTGTACACAAAGTAGCCTCACATTATTCCAATTCCTCCCTTACCCAAAGCCAGTGGAACTATATTTTCTTTCAAAAGTAAAGATCAAAAGACACTTTCTGCTGTGTCTTGACATACATTTAATTGATTCAGAGGTTCTCTTCTGCTTCAAAAGTTGCCTTCGGTTGATTGACGACACAGATAGTTTCTGTTCTTCAAAGTTAAGTCTCAGCTGTGTGCCGTAATGAAAGAAAAGCTGTATTTGTGATGCTGGGACACAATTCAGTAATGGATCCCCAGCCAACCTGCATTGTTCTAGCTGACTGAAGTGCACCATGGGCGTGCTGTCTTTCACTAATAATGCTGTCTTCTGTAGATCGAGGCCCCGAAAGCCATGGCAGCAGACCTTCTCAGAAGTTTTTGGCACTCACTGGAAGATCCTGTGGTTTATTCCTTTCAGGCAGAGGCAACCACTGCGAGTTCCCTACCACTTTGCCAATCACGTCTAAACAGATGGATGGTGGGCACAGATGGGTCCTCCATGCTGGAAGTGCATTACAGGTTTTATGATAATAGGACTATGACAGTCTTCAAGTCAATTAAAATCCACCCACCAATCATAGGCACAACAACGTGCCTCAGTCTTTATTTTAATAGTGGTCTTGATTCTATTCTGAGATTAATACAAGTTGTATGTTTCACTGTAGGCATATTTACTTCCAAATCAGCTTTCCAAGGGGATTTCTTTTGTATTTGAAGTTAATACCAAAACCAAATGACTGGAATGCAGTCTTACTCTGTTTCATACTGGCTCTTTTTTTATTTTGGTAGAAAACACTGAAGTTTACATTGATTGTTAGCTTTTCCACCGAGTGTCTTATTCTGCCTTGAATTTTTCGTAGTGTTTTTATCTGTAGGTCTGTCTGGATAATATTTGTGTCTTTTTTTCTGCTATGTGTATTTAAAGTTCACTGACACTGCCATTTAATTATGATATGCAATAGTAATCCTGTGGCACTGCACTATAAAAGGTAACATTTAAAACTGAAGCAGGCTGCTTCCTAAACCTCTCTCAGAGAGATTTATAGAAATATGTGTCAATTTATGTGTTTATATAGAGAAATCAAACATGTTACAGTTATCTTTCTGCATAGATACAATCTTAGTGAAAAGTATTTGTGTCTTGATGTCAACAAAGGCGGTGATATGTATGCAGATAGAAAGCATGTTTTCCATATATCACAAGGATTTCTTTGCAATAATTCAATAAAAGAAGTTGTATAGTGCAAATACTCAAATGATTACTTTTCTAAAAATGTGGATCTAATTAGTTAGCATGTACCATAAAAAAGAGTATACTGTCAATAAAGTTATAAATTTTATATTTACTTTTGTTTAGTTATGATTAGCTGGAATTGGTCTAAGTGTATATTGGAAATATATGTGAAAATATTTTAAAATACTTATACATACAGATATTTGATACTAACATGAATAGTGAAGTACATTAACTGATTTAATAGATTGCTGTGTCAATGTAGATAGCTTGTTGTGGGCCCTTTAAGTATAGAAGTAGTTAACCAAAGAAAGCATCATTAAGATTACATCTTGTAAAATGACAATTGCCAAAATACTGGCTCAGCTTTGCTATATCTGGAAAAATTGTGTAATTTATTCTGTCCCTCTGGATCTGCACAAATATCAGCATGACACGATTTTTGAAAGGTCTGTGAATTTTTTTGAGAAATGCACAGCTTTGGTGTTTTCAGTAGTGCTGCTTACTGTGTTGTCTTGTCTAACAGGACTGGGATCCACCGTAAATGACAGCCATGCAACAGGATAATGAAGGGCAAAAAATAGGATACATCCTAATGTAGGCTGTGTTTGGAGAGAGTGATAGCTTGTTTATGAACAGTTCATTCAAAAAGAAGGGCTAGATTTTTCGTGAGTATTATTCATAATGAATTTTTAGATCATGTCTTGGAAAGTCCTTACATAGTCACTGCCAGTGTTGGGTGTCCCTTTATTGAATTAACAGATTTTAATGATCTATTGAAAGTTCCAAACTTAAAAATCACTTGAAGTTCCATCTTAAAAATCACTTGAAGCTTGAGGAAAGTGGATGAAACGGCTGGAGCAGTGCCTGAAATTAAAAAGAACGTGCATACACATTATAAAGTAATGGCTGTATTCTCCCTCTTTTTTTTTTCCTTTTTTTTTCCTTAAGGAATTTCACTAGTTCGGTCTTTGTGAAACACATAGGGGAATAAAGGCAGTTTTGTTATGTGCCGGCACTGTGGAGCCTAAGTGTACTAAACGGGACGGAGCACAGACGTCCGAGGTTTACGCGGCAGTGCGTCCTCCCTCGCTTCCCCAGCTCCCTCTGTCGGCCGCCCTCGAGAGCGACCCGGTATAACCACAAATAAACATCTCTGAACGATAAGGCGCTTACTGGAGTGACAGAAAGAAAAGCCTTGAAGTGAAGCGTCAGCCATACATTTAACTAAATCATGTACATGAAAACCCGGCCTGATTCTCAAATGAAAATGGTGATTTCACAGATTGACAGTTTCTCAGATGTTTTCGCATTATTGGATTTTTGGGGTAAATACATATTTTTTGTCCTCATTCTCCTATTCATCCTTAATGTTAGGAATCAGCATACAATGCAGTTGGGACAGACACTTCATTTTTTACCCCATTTATGAGTATGTGCAGGAGAGAAAGGAGATTTTGAAGAGGCTTCATTTTTAGGAAGCAGTGAACTATATTCTTTGAATGACAGGCCTCCAAAAGTGTAAAAGTAATAAAAATATTAAAAAAACCCCTTTATCATGTTATTAGTTTATTAATGTTTCTGAAACTGATTATCAGGAAGAGTTGTTCCAGCAGGAAACAATCAGGTAGACTTTTATGATCTAGTTTGAAATACTTTGAATCCTTACTTTGAAATCCCACATATTTGCCTCTGGCTCTCCTTCATGATTTTTTTTTTTTCTTTTTATTAGAAACTGCATTCTTAGGACTAATCAGTGCTTGTCATTGCTATTCATTTAAAAAAATCTTCTAGACAGTACTAGTGAATGTCATCCTAATATGTTATCAGAGCTACACATACTTTAATGAGCACAGTTGATATTAGCTGTGAACTTCATGATATTTTATTTTCGGAGGGGTACAGAGAGATCTCAAAGCACTGACAGAAAACAACCTGAAAACTTTTGAAAATAACTGATTTATTTGCAGTATGGGGTAGCTCATGGTAGGACCGAACAATGCTGCCTTGCTATCTCCTCATAAGATCAGAGATTGAAGATTTCATCTGCAAAATCTTGATGCCTAAAATAAAAGATTGTGTGTTGAATAATGTTTACCAATCTATCCTCTGATCTGTTGGTTTGAAGGACAGGTTCCATTGAACAGATGGTAGAGTACCCGAGATACGCAGTCATTCTCGGTCTTGAGGAGGATTCAGGAGTAAGAAACTGCCAAAGAAGCAAGTGGTAGGATAGAATTTGAACTAGGCAGCTTTCTCCTCATTTTGAATCTAAAACGGGCTAATGTGAATGGAACATTCATGGAAACACAGAGAAAATGGAGGTGGGGCCAAAAGAATTGTTCTGATTCATTACCGAAGTTTACCAAATGAAGTGAGATTGTGAAGAGTGGTAGTTATGCAGTAAATAAATTCACATGTTGTCATTATGTGATGTCTTTCAATGTCCATCTTACAGTTCTCCCGTTTTGTGCAGTAAATGATACTTCCCAGAAATTACAAATTTATGTTTTGTTTTGTGCTATAGCAGGCCATTGTGTGCCAATACAAGGAATGTAGGTGGCAAAGATAGGATTTCTGCAGTACTCTTAAAGTCAACTTTGCATTCAGATGGAACGTGTTAATGAGTTTTCTAGTAACTTGAGATTGTTAGTTAACATGAAACACTTTTTTTGTAATGCACTATTTAACTGTCGTGGTTCAAACCCAGCCGGCAAC